TCCATGTTAATTTGTTCAAATTTTTTCATTGAGATGGAGGGAGTATATAATAGTTAAATATATTGGTTTTAAAAAATGCAAGCTTATTCTTACTAAAATAAAGAAATTAAAACACATATCAATTCTCTCTTTACATATAAAGTAGAAGCAACTGCTAAAAAGTATAACAAAATATTTGAATGCTAAAATTAAAATATTACATGCCGAAATAATAATTTATGTGTCTAAACTTTCATATACAATGATACATAAATATTGTGCATTACAATAAATTTGTGTTGAACTTTGTTTAGTGAAGTTGATGTTACTGGCTAATCAAACTCTAGACGCCAATAGCTCTATGTACTTCCCATCCTCTCAAATTGTTTCTTTCTCTTAAATAACAAAAAAGAAGATGAAATTAAGATCAACATCCATTACATTGAATAATTAGGCGAAAAAACTTGAATTTTATTAATACTGTAAGGTTATTATAACATCACAATAAATTATATAGCTTCATATGTACATTATTTTCATCCCATAAATATTCGAAAATAAGATGAAATAGAGTAGACTAAAAACAATAAAATAGCTAATGAATTCTAAAACTTTTAAATAACAAAAAATAATGAGAGAAATAGTTCCAAATGTAAAAGAATGGAGGAACTTCCTCAAGAACTAACAAAAGCATAAATAGATTTATCTTTTATTTGTTGCATATGTGATGAGCAATTACAGTCATCAACAATCATATTGTAAGATTTATATATATATATATATATATATATATATATATGGGGTTAAATATTGAATTTTTCTTATTCAGCAAAGAAGATGAACGGTATCTGATTGGATATTTGAGGCCATGATTGTCAAAGACTTCAAATTTTGCTGGCGATGAATCCAAAGAACGAAAGCATTTTTTTGCGGAAAATTGAATGATGAACAAGAACAACATGAAAATCCTACCATCCAAAGTACTTTTTCCGTTTCAGTTAACATCATGAGTTTCAGGAGGTGACTCTGCTTCTTTTTCATCCTACTACTCTTTTTTTCTTCATATAAATTATCTCATTCTTTCAGCAAAATCAGAAAGATAAAAAAAAATCTTTTAGCAGCGCAAAAGCTTTAGATGTCTCTCAAATTCTTCAAACCTCTTTTTGATTCTTTCCCATGGCTCCTTGAACAACTCAATGTGGAGCAAAAGGGTGTGTTTTTCTTCTGTTTTCTTGGTTTTTTAGCTTTACTTTGGTGTTTCATCAGCAACTCAAACAAGAGACTGCCACCAGGGCCTAGAGCTTTGCCCTTGATAGGTAATCTCCATTCTCTTGATCCTGAACTTCACACCTATTTTGCATCTCTTTCCCAAACTTATGGCCCCATTTGTAGACTATGGCTTGGTAAAAAACTTGGTATTATTATTACTTCCCCTGCTTTAGCTCGTGAGGTTCTTAAGGATAAAGATACCATTTTTGCTAACAGAGATGTCCCTGCTGCTGGAAGAGAATTTTCATATGGTGGTAATAATTTACTTTGGGCTCCTTATGGACCGAAATGGCGCATGTTGAGGAAGGTTTGTGTTTGCGATATGCTTAGTTGTTCTACTTTAGATTCTGTTTATGCACTAAGGCAAAGGGAGCTTAGACAATCGATCAGTTACTTTTATAACAAGGCAGGATCCCCTGTGAATGTTGGTGAACAGATGTTCTTGACTATTCTTAATGTGATTACAAGCATGTTATGGGGTGGTACAGTGAAGGGTGAGGAAAGAGCTAGTCTTGGAGCTGAGTTTAGGCATGTTGTGACTGAGATGTCTGCGCTGTGCAGTATTCCCAATCTTTCCGATTATTACCCAGGTTTGGCCTGGTTTGATTTCCAGGGTGTTACAAAGAAGATGAAGGTGCTGGTAAAGAGATTTGATAAGATATTTGATAGCATGATTGATCAAAGACAAAAATTGGACAGAAATGGTGTTGGCCAAGAAAGCAAAGACTTTTTGCAAGTTTTGCTGAAGTTGAAAGATGAATCAGATGCCAAAATGCCTCTAACCATGATTGAACTCAAAGCCTTACTTATGGTATGTTTATCAGTTGTGCATTCTACGAAATTTGTTTTTTTCCAAATGAATCAAAAATAATTATTATTGAGTAGCCAAGATTGCATTTGTGATATTAGTCATAATAAGAGGATCAAATTTAGCGTCGGATAATATATGAAGACTTAACTGTGAATTAAGACGGTAAACCTTGAACTGAACTCCAATTAAAAAATTGTTGTACATGATAATAACATCACAAATACTATGGACAGGATATGATTATTGGTGGAACTGACAGTACCTCCAACACGATTGAGTTTGCCATGGCTGAAATTATGAACAAACCAGACGTCCTGAGGAAATTACAACAAGAACTGGAGGCAGTTGTGGGAAAAGATAATATTGTGGATGAGTCTCATGTTAAGCAATTACCATATCTTTATGCAGTTATGAAAGAAGTCTTGCGCATACATCCAGCTGCTCCAGTATTGGTGCCACATTGTCCAAGTGAAACATGCACTGTGGGAGGATACACTGTTCCTAAAGGATCTTGTATTTTCATAAATGTATGGGCTATACACAGAGATCCTTCTATCTGGAAAAATCCAACAGAGTTCCGTCCAAAGAGATTTTTGGACAATAAATGGGATTATAGTGGAAATGATTTCAACTATTTCCCATTTGGTTCTGGCAGAAGAATCTGTGCGGGGATAGCCATGGTAGAGAGGATGTTCATGTATTCACTTGCTTCACTCGTTCATTCTTTCGACTGGAAATTGCCTGAAGGAGAGACATTAGAAGTTACAGAGAAGTTCGGTATTATTATGAAGAAGAAAATGCCTCTGGTGGCTATACCTACTCCAAGATTGTCTAATCCAAAACTGTATGAGTAAGATTAAAATGTGTTTGTAGAGAGTCGTGTTCTGTATGATGATTCTGTCTTCTTCTTCTTTTTTGAGAAAATGATGATTCTGTCTTTTGTATGATGAATTATGGGTTGCATTTGAACTTAATCCAAACATTTCTATGCAGCAAAAGGAACCCTTATCTTCTCTCTTGGTGAAAATTCTCTCAACCATTCTTATGTACTAATGTCTTTCGAAATGAGCATTGAATAATTCGCCCAAGTTTCCAATTTATAGATAATGAGTGATGTTTTGACCGAAATAATCAAGTATCATGTGGAAGCTAGCAAAGCAAACTCGGAAGACCATGAGTAAGAAGATAAATAAGAAATATGTCAAAAGAGACATAAATATTTAACGTGATTCAGTCAACATGTGCCTCAACCAAGTCCATGACTCTTTAGGATCATTGACTAGCTATATATTAGTAATACACTCTATAGTACTAAACAGGGTACACAAAATAAAAAACTGTGTGAATCACTTCAATAATCAAACTATCTTCCTGTAAAACATGGTTTCAGAACCTCTAAAACGAGTTACGTCTTGCAGCTCTCCTGACAATTCAATGGTACAATTAATAAACAACAAATACTCCTATGTTTTAGCATGTTCAATAGATTCTAATAGTTGTAAACTTGTAATGTAATAACTCTAAATATTTGTGTAATGATAGTTCAATTTCTTTTCATATGTAGGAGATATCAAGAATTAAACATCTTTAGGGTGTAAATAACAGATTTTTAGGCATGTAAATCGAAATTCTGTCTACACTTGAAGCATTCATTCAGCGAAACCTGACAAAGTAACAGCCTACTGCTTTAATTCTTAGAGTCATTCACTTGTGATTCCTTTAAAAAGAAAAAGATTTAAAATTTTTGGTTTTGTTAGCGATTCGTCAACAGTTAGTCTTAAACATTTAGGGCTCTTGGTCTTGATTAAATATCAATTTCCATTGAATCAACATTGTAACAGTATGAGTGGAGACTGGAAAGATATCTCTGCTTCTTTTTCATTGTATGGGTCCGCCAAATTAGTTTTTTTCTTCATCGGAAATATCTCATTCCTGTGGATAGTTAGTCTTATACTAATTGTTGTCTCTAGTTTCTTCGAAATTGGGGTCTAGATCACTTTTGATCTAAGTTCTTGAATTGACTCTATTAGGGTCATAATTAGTTCTGCTAATTTTGAATATTAAAAGATCAACTAGGGTTGTTAACAATTTTCTTGAAATTTGAGATTTTATTCTCAAGTTTCACATATCTTTCAATTTCTATCTTTAATCTTTTTATAATTTCACTTCCACATTATTTTCTTTATTATTCAAGTAACCCGATTTTTTTCAATCTTATACTACACAAATAAGGTAAAATTATGTTATATATATATATATAGTAACCAGATTTTTTTCAATCTTATACTACACAAATAAGGTAAAATTATGTTATATATATATATATATATATATGGTGTTAAAAATTGAGTTTTTCTTGGTCTTCAAAGAGGGTGTTGACAGAGATATCTGCTGGCGATGAATACAAAGAAAGAAAGCATCTTTTTTGCTGAAAATTGAATGATGAACAACATGCCAAACAAACTTTGCTCCTTTCACGTTTCTTATGATACTAAACAAAGTACTTTTTCCGTTTCAATTAACATCACGAGATTCAGGGGAGGTGACTCTGCTTCGTTTTCATCGTACTGCTCTATTTAAATTCATCTCATTAGTTCAGCAAAATTATATAAAAAAAAAATCTTTAGCAGTGCCAAACTTCAGATGTCTCTCGAATTCGTCAAACCCCTTTTTGATTCTTTCCCATGGCTCCTTCAACAACTCAATGTTGAGCAACAGGCTGTGTTTTTCTCCTGTTTTCTTGGTTTTTTGGCTTTACTTTGGTTTTTCATCAGTAACTCAAACGAGGGACTGCCACCAGGGCCTAAATCTTTGCCCTTGATAGGTAATCTCCATTCTCTTGATCCTGAACTTCACACCTATTTTGCATCTCTGTCCCAAACTTATGGCCCCATTTGTAGATTCTGGTTTGGTAAAAAACTTGGGATTATTATTACTTCACCAGCATTAGCTCGTGAGGTTCTTAAGGATCAAGATACCATTTTTGCTAACAGAGATGTGCCTGCTGCTGCAAGAGAAATTTCATACGGTTGCAATGACATACTTTGGAATTCTTATGGACCAAAATGGCGAATGTTGAGGAAGGTTTGTGTTCGCGATATGCTTAGTTGTTCTACTTTAGATTCTGTTTATACACTAAGGAGAAGGGAGTTTAGACAATCGATCAATTACTTCTATAGTCAGAAGGGTTTACCAGTGAACGTTGGTGAACAGATGTTCTTGACTGTGTTTAATGTGATTACAAGCATGTTATGGGGTGGCACGGTGAAGGGTGGGGAAAGAGCTAGTCTTGGATCTGAGTTTAGGTATGTTGTGAGTGAGATGGCTGCGCTGTGCAGTATTCCCAATCTTTCCGATTTCTACCCAGGTTTGGCTTGGTTTGATTTCCAGGGTGTTACAAAGAAGATGAAGGTGCTGTTAAAGAGATTTGAGAAGATATTTGATAGCATGATTGATCAAAGAAAAAAATTGGATAGAAATGGCGTTGGCCAAGAAAGCAAAGACTTTTTGCAAGTTTTGCTGAAGTTGAAAGATGAAGCAGATACCAAAATGCCTGTGACCATGACTGAAATCAAAGCCTTACTTATGGTATGTTTATCAGTTGTGCATTTTACGAAATTTGTTTTTTTCCAAATGAACCAAAAAGAAATCATCCTCTCCCCAGTTATCACTGCATTATTATTGAGTAGCCAAGATGCAACCATTCATACCTTATCTATATGGATTAATATTAGCCAAGATCTTTTCTTTTTTATATTAAATTTCAGAAGAATCAGATTTGTAAACTCATGTCCTGAGCTATTGGTTGCGTTCTTCTGCTAGGAAAATTCACTTTCATTAAAAAGTTTGCTTTTTACTTTAAGTAGTCCATCTCCTCACCTGTTAGGCAGTTAACAGATGAAAAATTGGTTTATAGTGTTATTAGTCATAATAAGAGGATCAAATGCTAATACAAGTTAAAATTAGGATCATAAATGTATTTGAAGAATTATTGTGGAAGATGTGTATAGATTCATATATTCATGTTTTGAAGTGTTAGTTGCTACCATGTTATTGGACTGCCTTAAAGAAAGAGTCGGCAAATTTAGCATCTGATATTATATGTGAAGACTTAACTGTAAATTAAGACGGTGAACCTTGAACTGAACTCCAATTAAAAAAATTGTTGTACATGATAATAACTTCACAAATACTATGGACAGGATATGATTGTTGGTGGAACTGACAGTACCTCCAACGCGATTGAGTTTGCCATGGCTGAAATTATGATCAAACCGGACGTCCTGAGGAAATTACAAGAAGAACTAGAGACAGTTGTGGGAAAGGATAATATTGTGGAAGAGTCTCATATTAAGCAATTACCATATCTCTATGCAGTTATTAAAGAAATTTTGCGCTTACATCCACCTGCTCCACTATTGGCTCCACATTGTCCTAGTGAAACATGCACTGTGGGAGGATACACTGTTCCTAAAGGATCTTGTGTTTTCATAAATGTATGGGCTATACACAGAGATCCTTCTATATGGGAAAATCCAACTGAGTTCCGTCCAGAGAGATTTTTGGACAATAAACACGATTGTAGTGGAAATGATTTCAACTATTTCCCATTTGGTTCTGGAAGAAGAATGTGTGCAGGGATAGCCATGGCAGAGAGGATGTTCATGTATTCAGTAGCTTCACTCATTCATTATTTCGACTGGAAATTGCCCGAAGGAGAGACATTAGACCTCACAGAGAAGTTTGGGATTGTTCTGAAGAAGAAAATGCCTCTGGTGGCTATACCTACTCCAAGATTGTCCAATCCAATACTCTATGAGTAAGATTATTAGAAATGTTTGGATTAGTGATACTGGACTTAGCTATAGTGAGATTATTTATTATCTATTGTGTGGTTTGATGTATTAAGAGTAATTATGTTTTTAACCTGCTTATTCATGTATTAATTGCACTTGTATTGCTAATATCAGACTATGTATTAGTTATACACTCTATCATAGTACTAATCAGGTTGCACAAAATGAATATCCTACCAAACAAAGTACTCCCTCCATTTTAATTTGTTTGTCCTACTCTCCTTTTCATTTAGTTTAACAAATGCCTTTTTTTAGCAACACTTAAATTCCAACCACAAGATTAAAAGACATTTCGATATATTCGACATATCTTTAAATTAACACCATGAGATTCAAATAGAGGGAGAAAACATGTTGTCTATGTTGGGAATAAACCCATCACAAAAATGATATTTGCAGTAATAAAAGCAATAAAAAGGGAACACAACAATACAGTTAATCAACAATAATAAAAAGAGTAATAATGACACCAAGATTTTACGTTCCTGAATAAGGGAAAAATCACAGCCGAGAAGAGCAACTAATATCGCTATAGTAAGAAATTTTACACCTGTAGGTCTGAGTAAAAACTCCAAAAACCACTACACACTTAAAAGAAATGACCTTCTTTTGATTTTCCTACCTCACTACAATATCGTTCACACTCCCTATTTTTCCTCACAGACTACTTTCCTGTGTGATGCCCCACTCTTCTTTTCTCTCTTTTATTTTGGTGGGTCTAAGAATGAAGAATCGCCTCTCCTTAAATAGGCAAAATAGACATGGTCTCCTCCACGTCTCAGCAAACTTTGGCTCAAGGAAATTGAACTTAGGCAAGTAAAATTGGCACATGGGGATGGACCCGACAGTCTATACAGTATGAGTGGGACTAGGGAGGTAACTGTGCTTCTTTTTTTATAGTACTGATCTTTTTGTCTTAATCTAAAATATCTCATTCTTTCAGCAAAACTAAAAAAATTCTTTAAGTGGTGCAAAAGCTTTGCTTCTTCCATTTTTTTCATTTCCCTCAAATAATGTCTCTCGAATTCTTCGAACCCCTTTTTGATTCATTCCCATGGCCCCTTCAAGAACTCAATATTGAGGAAAAGGGTGTATTTTTCTCCTATTTTCTTGGCATTTTAGCTTTACTATGGTTCCTTTGGTTTTTCATCAGTAACTCAAACAAGGGACTGCCACCAGGGCCTAGAGCTTTGCCCTTGATAGGTAATCTCCATTCTCTTGATCCTGAACTTCACACCTATTTTGCATCTCTGTCCCAAACTTATGGCCCCATTTGTAGACTCTGGCTTGGTAAAAAACTTGGGATTATTATTACTTCCCCTGCTTTAGCTCGCGAGGTTCTTAAGGATCAAGATACCATTTTTGCTAACAGAGATGTCCCTGCTGCTGGAAGAGAATTTTCATATGGTGGCAATGACATAATTTGGAATCCTTATGGACCAAAATGTGTTGAGGAAAATTTGTGTTCGCGAAATGCTTAATGTTTCTACTTTAAATTCTGTTTATGCACTAAGGCGAACGGAGCTTAGACAATCGATCAATTACTTTTATAATCAGGCAGGATCGCCTGTGAATGTTGGTGAACAGATGTTCTTGACTGTGCTTAATGTGATTACAAGCATGTTATGGGGTGGCACTGTGAAGGGTGAGGAAAGAGCTAGCCTTGGAGCTGAATTTAGGCATGTTGTGACTGAGATAGCTGCACTGTGCAGTATTCCCAATCTTTCCGATTTTTACCCGGGCTTGGCCTGGTTTGATTTCCAGGGTGTTACAAAGAAGATGAAGGCGTTGGCAAAGAGATTTGATGAGATATTTGAGAGAATAATTGATCAAAAACAAAAATTGGACAGAAATGGTGTTGGCCAAGAAAGCAAAGACTTTTTGCAAGTTTTGCTGAAGTTGAAAGATGAAGCAGATGTCAAAATACCTCTAACCATGACTGAAATCAAAGCCTTATTTATGGTATGTTTATCAGTTGTGCATTCTACTAAATTTGCTTTTTCCAAAAAGAAATCTTCCTCTCCCCAATTCCAAATTTCAAATTAGTAATAGTCATCACTGCATTATTATTGAGTAGCCTAGAATCAAGATTGCATTTGTCTTCCACTATTCATACTGGTTTACACTGATCATGATGGTAGATCTTTTCTTTTTTTATATTAAAAGGATCAAAATCAAATGACATTGATAGTGGGCTTGTAAATTTATAGAAGAATTATTGTGGCATATGGAAAATACATTTCAGAAGAATCAGATTTGGAAATTCACTTTCATTACGGGTGTGTTTGGTATGAAGGAAAATGTTTTCCTAGAAAACAAGTAGATTTTTGACTTATTTTCTCATGTTTGGTTGGTGAGTAGAAAATATTTTTCGGAAAAGATTTTTAGTGTTTGATTTATGAATGAAAACGTTTTTGAGAAATATCTATTTCTATTAGAGTAGAAAATAATTTTTGAAATTGAAAATATTTTTTAGAAACAAACTTAAATTATTATTTTTGGGGTGGGGGTGGGGGTGATAAGGGGGCTGGCAGGGGGGTGGGTCGAGGGTAGGGGTGAAAAAACAAAATTTGAAGTTGAAAATGCTTTTTAAAAACAAACTTAAAATTTTCTTTGGGGGTGGGGGGTGGGGGATGGTGGGAGGATGGGTGGGGGGTGGGGGGGCTCGAAGGTAGGAGTGAAAAATGAAATTTTGATGTTGAATATATTTTTAAAAAAGCTGATGTGGGGGGGAGGGTAGGGGGTGGGGGTGGGGGTAAAAAAATAAAAAGTTAAAATTAGAAATATCTTTTAAAAACAACTTTTAATATTTTTTTTTTGGGGAGGGGGGTTGGGGGCTGGTTTGAGGGTAGGGACAAAATAAATTGATGTTTTCAATAAAAAAAAATTGTAACTTGAACTTGGAAGGAAGTTTTGGAAAATGTTTTTCTTAAGTTTTCATTTTCCTTAAATTTGAGGAAAATGAGTTGATTTGGAAAACATTTTCCAAAACATTTAACACAACCAAACATGAGAAAATTGGAAAACTTCATACCAAACACACCCTACATGTGGTCCTGCTTACAAAGTTTTTACTTCAAATAGTCCATCTCTTTACATATTAGGCTGTTATAGATGAAAAATTGGCTTATAGTGCTATTACCATGTTATTGGACTGCATTAAAGAAAGAGTCGGAAAATTTAGCATCAGATTATATGTGAAGACTTAACTGTGAATTAAGACTGTGAACCTTGAAGTGAACTCCAATATACAGTTATACAATTAAGAAATTGTTGTACATGGTAATAACTTCACAAGTACTATGGACAGGATATGGTTCTCGGTGGAACTGACACTACTGCCAACACAGTTGAGTTTGCCATGGCTGAAATTATGCACAAACCCAATGTCCTAAGAAAATTACAACAAGAAGTAGATACAGTTGTGGGAAAAGATAATATTGTGGAAGAATCTCATATTCAGCAATTACAATATCTCTATGCAGTGATGAAAGAAGTCTTGCGCATACATTCAACTGCTCCATTCTTGGTGCCACACTGTCCTAGTGAAACATGCACTGTGGGAGGATACACTGTTCCTAAAGGATCTTGTGTTTTCATAAATGTATGGGCTATTTACAGAGATCCTTCTATATGGGAAAATCCAACTGAGTTCCGTCCAGAGAGATCTTTGGACAATAAATGGGATTATAGTGGAAATGATTTCAACTATTTCCCATTTGGTTCTGGCAGAAGAATGTGCCCGGGGATAGTCATGGCAGAGAGGATGTTCATGTATTCAGTAGCTTCACTCATTCATTCTTTCGACTGGAAATTGCCCAAAGGAGAGACATTAGACCTTACAGAGAAGTTTGGTGTTATATTGAAGAAGAAAATGCCTCTGGTGGCTATACCTACTCCAAGATTATTCAATCCAACACTGTATGAGTAAGATAAAAATGTGTTTTTAGATGTTCTGTATGATGAAATTAAGAATATAAAACCTGCAATTCAGTGTGCCTGAATTACCACTAGTTCAGTAGGTCTATTCCAGAGACTTGGAAACATACAGGCATGAGGCTCCTGTTTGTAAGATAAAAATAATCCCCAATTTCATCCTGTAAATTCAAAATCTTATGAAGGTCCTGAGCTTTGTTAAATTCATAGTCAATGATAATTATTTACTTATACTAAGTGGTCATATAACGCGTAAAAATCAGCCATTTCTTGACAATATTTGGTTCAGAAGGATAGTTGATGAACAACTCTATAAGTGTTTTGGTACCAAAATCTGTTTGCTTCAACCAAGTCCATGAATCTTTGGGATCACTGACTAGCCAGAGTCATTATTGCTTCAAACAAGAAGTATATTTAACAAACACTAATAATTTTACTATATATCACTTGCTTAGGTGAGGAGATTTAACAAAAAAAATGAAGCAATTTCATGTTAACCGCTGACGCCTTGTGGCCTTCCAAAGGTGGGATGATCCTAAAAAACATTTTTTTTTCTTTAAACCTTAATCAGACTCATCAATTCTGCTTTGAAGCTGAAGCAGCAGTAGATTTGGGGAGGTATGTTCTTATTCATCTTATGGGTTCTGCAGACTTTCAATAGTCACTTTTTGTCTTATCCAACATATTTTTATTCTTCAGGATATTTTATTTTTGTATATGATTTTAAAGCATTGAGTTTTTCTTGGCAAAAAGGGCCCTTATGTATGTTATGTCAATTATAACATGTGCATTTCCTACTATATAGGACAAAGTCACTTTCTTTTGATGTTATATTGGTTGGTCCCTTCTGTTGGAAAACATGGAATAACACAAGGAGATTCATAGTCAAAATAATGGGGATAAAATGGGAAAATAATAACATCAAGAATTTTACGTGGAAATCTTTTGAATTAGGAAATAAATTACAGATCAAGAGGAGCAACTGATTTCACTAATTACACTTGTGTAGGCCTAAGTAATATACTACAAAGACCACTACACACTCAAAAGAAATAACCCTCTTTTGAATTCCCACCTCACGAAAATATCGCTCACTCTATTTTTTCCTTCACGGATTTATTTTTTCACAGTCTATGAAATACCACATTGCTCTCTATATTATTTTCCTCTTTGTGTTGGTGTGTACAAACTGATGTTGAAGTCTCTATGTATAGGGTAAAATATGTCCATTTTTCCACCTTGTATCATCAATTGGCTGACAGACAATTTCAACAAAGGTGTGCCAAAAAATCTGCTGCAAATCTTGTCAAACATAGGGCTGGACTCCACACCTTCAAAATTCTAATGTGTTCAAAGCAACCTTTCCTTTTCCTCATTTCAAACATAGGTCACTAATGCATTATTGTTGAGTAGAGGAGGTTGCCTTTGCCTTCAACCATTCCTTTCTTATCCTATGTTGCTGGACTTATCAAATATGTCTGTTGGTGTGACTTGATCCTCCAAAATTAATACTCGGCCTCCGTTTCAATTTATTTATCTCATTTTGACTTGATATGAAGTTTAAGAACCTAAAGAACTGGTGTCCTTCCAGATATAAGTATTAGAAGTGCTGAAAGTGTCTTCATACTAAATATGGAACCTTTAAACAAACTTTGTCTAGCAGCTCTCACCCTTTCAATTGTGTTCCTTACAATTCTGTGGTACAAATTGACATCACACAAGGAAGAACCCAAGCTGCCACCAGGGCCTCGTGGTCTTCCAATTGTGGGATTCTTACCATTCCTCCGCACCAATTTGCATCACCAGCTCACGGAGTTGTCTCAACAATATGGTCCAATTTACAAGTTTTGGTTAGGAAGCAAACTATGTGTTGTGTTGAATTCACCATCCTTAGCCAAAGAAGTTGTTCGTGATCAAGATTCTGTTTTTGCTAACCGTGACCCTCCAATTGCAGGATTAGTAGGTACTTATGGTGGACTAGATATTGGATTTTCTCCCTATGGCTCCTACTGGCGTGAGATGCGCAAACTGTTTGTAAGGGAGATGCTAAGCAACAATAACCTTGAGGCCTGTTATAGCCTTCGGAGACGCGAGGTCAGAAAGACAATCAGAAATGTGCATACCAAGATTGGTTACCCCGTTGACATTGGTGAATTGGCCTTTGTAACTGAAATGAATGTAGTCATTAGTATTATCTTTGGCAGCAAATTTGTCGAGGAGACAGAGAAGCATAGTACTGATGGAACTAAATTCAGGGAATTGGTGATGAAATATGGTCTAGTGATGGGAAAGCCAAACATATCAGACTTCTTCCCTATGCTTGCCAGGTTTGACTTACAAGGAATACAGAAAGAGATGGAGGCTCTTTTGAAGTTGTTTGATAGTATATTGGACCCTGCCATAAGTGAATGCATGAAGATGCTTTCGGACCAAAGAGAGGGTGAAATCCAGGGGAATGAGAAGAAACATCTTATACAGATCCTGTTAGAGCTAATGGAGCAGAAAGACTTTGGTATATCACTGGACTTGGTGAAAATTAAAGCCATCTTGGTGGTAAGTTAAATGGTCCCTTTATCTTTTTTATTTTTCTTTCACTCTGAAGATTTAACAGTGTCATACAAACTTTTCAAGACTATTTTAGCTAACTAGTCTCTGGGAACGTGCGTTGCAGGTTTGTCCCTTATCATTATTATAGAATGTTGATATATTTAAAAAGTTGAGTTATAAAATAGAGGGATAAGGATCTGAAATATATCCGAACTTTGACCGAAATTGTTGTTACGATACCAAACTTTGGAAAGGACCTTTTACCCCCTGAACTATTTATTAGTGTATTTTTTACCACCTGAACTATTTAATAGTGTATTTTAAAGGTATATATGTGTCCACGTGGACATAAAAAATATTGCTTAATTATAAATAGGAAGGAGTGGAGGTCGCGTATTAAGGTTGAAGGGTAGTAGGGCTAGCGTGTTATCCTTTCTTGTGAGGGTCTGGGTTGTTAGCGTGTGTAGTAGTCTTAGCCTTGCACTTGCAGTTCTTGTCTGTGATACCTATAGCCTTATGTTGTTTATCGCGTTTCACTTCTCTCATTGTGCTATTGAGGCTACTGTCTCCTCTGTTGATTATTCACTATCTTTCTTATTGGATGGTATGTTTTGTACACTGTTTTCCTCCCCTTTAACTTGGATTTGTTGTACTTGAGCTGAGGGTCTTTCGGAAACAGCCTCTCTACCTCCACGAGGTAGTGACAAGGTCTGCGTACACTCTACCCTCCCCAGACCCCACCTAGTGGGATTTCACTGGGTATGTTGTTGTTGTTGTCCACCTGGGCACATATATACCTTTAAAATACACTATTAAATAGTTCAGGTGGTAAAAAATACACTAATAAATAGTTCAGGGGGTAAAAGGTCCTCCATAAAGTTTGGTATCGTAACAGCAATTTCGGCCAAAGTTAGAGTATTTTTCAGACCCTTTTCCCTAAAATAGATAATGTTGAAATACACAATATGAATTTTATTCATCGATAAAATTCATAAAAGCAGGACAATGTACTTCCAACAAAAATATGTTAAGCTATTAAGATGATATGAATGTTGATAAATCTTTGCTTGAAAAAAATGATAAATGCATGTGGATTGCCTTTAACGAAATTTGCAAAAACATGAAGAAGATTATTATTCATATTTTTAATGTTAATGATTTAATGTCATTTATTATAATCTATTCAATTTAGAATTGTTATAGTCTTCCACTAATTATTGCAGAGATAGATGACATAGGGATAGAAAAGAATTTATGTTTTACGAACACTACTTTAACATCTGATCATTCATCTCAAGTATGCATAGAAATTGTAGGTTTATCATCACAAGCCATCCTAAGTGATTTCAAAGACTGAATTAATAATAGAATACAATTTTCAGCAACAAATAAATTAGATATTACCAAATAAAATATAACATCACTATTTTATATGAGGAGAAAAATGAAAAAAAGAAAAGAAGAAGTTATTAATTAATTACATAGCATACCCAAAGAGAGAGCATCTCTTACTATTTCATGCTAAATTTATTATAAGTCATAATGAAATGAACCATTCTTGATATAGATATTTTTTTTTCCTCAACTCAACTTATCTAAGGATTTTAGGACGGGATTATATTGATCCTAGCACTCAGGGAATAACTCAACATTCAATCAAGTGAATCATTTAGCCTTTTTATAGCATGAGTGTCAGCATATAATATTATACTAATTCTAAAAATCATACACATAAAATACCATTTTTTTAGAGAAACTTTAAATTCACGTACCCCATATTTTGGCCTTAAATTTGCTTCTACGTAGAAAAACATATATTGGATTGACATTTTCAATTCATCATCAAAGGTAGTATTTTTCTTCTAACATTACCTTTACCTATAAGTTTACAATAATATGTGAAAGTCAAACGGGAAAATAGCAAAAATTAAGAAAGACACAAAAAAAATTTAAAATGTGTAGAGGAAGAAAAAAAAAATCTGAATCGAGAAGAGAAAAGAAGATTAGATAATGTATGTGCTTACCTTCATGGAGTGCATAGACATAAATGCACAAATGTTTACAAGAATGTTGAAAATTGATATATGGATGGTAATTTATAATATAAATATTTGATATTTAAAGTATCCATAATGTAAAATAAGAATAGACTTGCAAGGAGCTGGAGGAAAATAAATGAATAAACCATGACTTTTTAGAAACGTTTCATGAAGAAAACAAAAGGTCTAAAATGTTGTTGTAATAACCACAATAAATGTATATGTAACCATTTTTGGGTATGCAATAATTGAAAAATAGAAAAATAAGGGGAAAATGGAAAAAAAGTCTAAAAATTAATAGAGGAAAATATGGCATATTGTTTATGCCTAACGTTTGTCTATGGATGGATAAATCGAATTAGTTACAATCATTTCATCTGCTAATTTCCAACAAAGAGTAATGAAAATTAATTAGTTAGTTAATTTATTATTATGATGATAAGTAATGTTTTTTTTCATTGTAATTGCTAATGAAAAGGTTACAACTTCGAATGTACTTCTAAATGCTCAAGCTTACATCAATCATCAGCAAAAAAGCCAAAAGACCTAATAAAAGCTGAGAATTTCAATCGGTTAACATTTATAATTTTTTAATCTAAACACTTTTTTCTTCATTATGCATTTAATTAATTAGACATTTTATAATATTTTAATTTAGAGTGAACACCTAATAGTTTAAATGTGAACATAAGCAAGGTTGGTTATGTTTTCAAATGCTTCGCATATTAAAACTTATGTCATGACTTTCAGAAATTGGAAATTCCTCCTCTTATAGTCGTATGCATAACAAGAAGTTGTTGTCGAATAAAAGTAGTATTTTGTAAATGTTGAACAAAAAGTTGATCAACATATGTCTTCTTTAATATGGCTAGAATATCATTGTCAATTTTATAGTATACACCTAGTAAAAAAATAGTAATTATATTATGACGAAGATAATTAATTATTATTGACATCAAAAAAATTGAATCAATATATATTAATTATAATTGCACCTACATGTATCCTTTCTTTGATTCAAGATTAGGATTTCTTTAACATAAGAATATTATTTATATGGTTGAAATATAATCGTATTACGAAATATAATAAGAATCAATCTCTATTCAAGAACATTTTCTTTCATACGAAAATTTGACATAAGAGTATTACTTGTATTGTTTAAGTATAATTGCATTACGAAATATAATAAGAATCGATCCTTTTTAAAGAACAAGGGACTTGATATAAAAAGATAAAATATGTAAAAGATGTTAAAAAGTATAAGATCTAAATATCCTGAAAATTATACAGACAATTTCTCAAATCTCAAAAATCTTATTTTTATATCATGTTTCCTACAAATTATATTTTATGTATGTGAAATAATAAAATTGATAAAAAAAAAAAAGAGAGAGAGAGAGAGTTGTAAATAGCATATCCATTATGTACCTGATGATGAGAAGTGAAGAGCGCACAGTTGCCAAATAAAATCTGAAATATAGAGAAATAAATAAGAATTAGTTAGCAAACTCAAGGAAATCTTCATATATTAAATATATATTGTTGAGAACTAAAATGAACATAAGAGGAATAAAGTAGCTACCAATCAACAATATATATTTATATATTCAAACTTTTATGGCATATAGCTGCTAATCTATATATTATATAAAGCTTAAAGATGAAAGATTAATGTGACTTGAGTTGTAGAAAATCACTGCACATGCACTATATATTACTCCAATTCTATTTGACAAGGAACATGAAAAGTTCACATAACTTTTGGAAGCTCAAGGGAAAAAATAGTAATGTGAGATATGAAATAGTAGGATTGTAAATTGAGTTCAAGTAATCTGTATTAGGTTAATCAATGGGGAGATGAAAGATTTCTATCAATTAAATGTAGTTAAATTACTGATAAATAACTTTTTTTTAAAATGATAAAATGATTACTCAACTTTTAACTATTTAATATTTTATTATTTACATGTTTTATAACATTTTTACTTAGTCTAGGGGCAAAATGGTAATCCAACTTTGAATGTTGGAGCTTCCCACTTATAATATTATATATATATATGATATGATGATGATTATGTGATTCGAGCATCTCAGTTAAGAACTCAAATCCTCATATAGTGGTCACGTGTTCGAGCTGCGCAAGCAGTCACTAATGTTTGTATTAGGGTAGCTGTCAACATCACACTCCTTGTAGTGCAGCCCTTCTCCGGCCCTGCTAATGCAGGATGCTTTATGCACTGTGTCCTGTTGTGCCCCCTACATGCAGGGGATGAGCCACAAAAGAAGTTATGGGTTCGGCAGAACCAGTAGCTTTGGCCCAAACGACTATGTACTTATAGTAAGAAATTCACTTAATATGTATTTATAATTTATCGAAAACTCAATAAACAAAAAGAGTTATGTTTTAGAACCCAGACTTAAAATCTTGGATCCACCTCTGCCTACGGGTAGAACCAAGCATTACAAAATTCCTGCAATGACTAATTTCATTTCCCCTGTCTTCATATATGTTTCTGCATTGTAGGACATTGTGATTGGTGGGACTGACACTACAATCACGACGGTTGAGTGGGTAATGTCTGAGCTTCTGAATAATCCAGAGATAATGTCAAAGGTGCAGTAGGAATTGAAACATGTTGTAGGGATGAATAATATTGTTGAAGAATCCCATTTACCAAATCTGCACTATCTTGACGCTGTTTTAAAGGAGACGTTACGTCTACACCCTGCATTACCACTGCTTCTCCCAAAGCGCCCAAGCCAATGTGCAATAGTAGGTGGATACAAAATACCTGAGGGAACTAAAGTATTCTTGAATGTTTATGCAATTCATAGGGATCCTCAAGTGTGGGAAAGTCCACTAGAATTCCAACCTGAAAGGTTCTTGAGTGCCTCGACGAATTTAGACTATGCTGGAAATAATATGAAGTACCTTCCATTTGGATCAGGGAGAAGAATTTGTGCTGGAATTCCTTTAGCAGAGAAAATGCTTATGTTTATATTGGCTTCATTGCTTCATTCCTTTGACTGGAAACTCCCTGAGGGAGAAAACGTTGATCTTTCGGAGGGATTTGGACTCGTCCTAAAGAAAAGTGAGAGGCTATTGGTCATCCCTACTCCCAGGTTACCGAATTTCGAGCTATATCATCAGTAAAACCAAGAAACTTTTTTTTTCTCTTCTTTTTTTTTTATAAAACCAAGAAACTATAAGGACCTTAACATGATTTTTCCCACTGGCTGTAGTATTTATAATATCAGAGTACGTATTTTAAATAAAACATGATGTTGGTTGGTCACTTTCTTTCACCTGTTCAAAGTTCAAACCAGTTCTTGTCACTACTGCATTATTGCTGAGGTCTGAGGAGACGAGTTTGCATTTACCCGTTTTTATCCTCTGGACTTTTCAAAAATGTCAGTTTGGTGCATGTCAGATCCTGAGAATCCAATACGGGTATGACAACATTCATTAGTTTGTTGTAAACAATGAGTGCGGGTAAAACCGGACTTGTCCTTATTTTTAGGAAGGATGACTAATAGTCTGTTTAGTCAAGCTTCCAAAATCTGTTTATTTTGAAAATTATTTTTTTGTTAGAAGTGCTCATTGAATGAAGTTATTTTTATTTTTATTTTGGAATATAGCAGTTTGTCAATATTATCGATTTGTGTTTGCAAGATTTCAAAAGTGCTTCAGGAGTAAAGCAATTTTTGTTAACTTATGCCACTACTCGAAAACACTTATTTTTATCCTAAAAGCTTGGTCAAACAACTCAACTGTATGAATAAGCACTTTAGGCTTCACCAAAGCTTGGTCAAACAGAATATCAATCCAATAGATATGAGAAACTTTAATTTTTGTTTCTCCAAAAGAAAAGTAAGAAAAAGATAAAAAGGGTTGTTTTTGGAAATTTGTGAAACATCAAATTGAAACAACAGTTGTTTTACTGTTTTTTCTTTGAAGTTTGAAGCACCAGTAAGGTTGGGGAGGTATTTTCATATTCATATTGTAGTTCTTCAGACTTTCAACAGTCACTTTTGTCTTATCCAACATATTATTATTCTTCAGAATTTGTTTTTATATATATATATGGTATTAGAGTATTGAGTTTTCTTTGGCAAAAATGTCTCTTATAATGGTATGTTATGTCATATATGTTATATTGGTTGTGGTCCCTTCTAACTTCTAAGGTGTTCAAATATGACCAAAGTCCAAAGCAACCTTTCCTTTTCCCCAATTCAAATTCATACCAATTTTGGTCACTACTGCATTATTGATGAGTTGATGAGATTGCATTTGACTTCAACCATTCCTGTCTTATCCAATGTTTCTAGATTTTTTCAAATATATCCCTTTGTGCATATCGGATTCTCCAAAAGTAATGCATTTTTTGAGGATCTAACACAGGAGCGACAACATTTTGGAGAGTCCAAAAAAACATAGGTCTTATCTTTATGGTCGCAAAAATTGGCTTATATACTGATCACACTGTCTGATCTTAATTAGTTATGATGTGAGATCTAAAATCTAATGATAGAGAAATATGGGATGGTGAATTACACCAAGGATGTGGCATAGTGATAAATGAAGTTAAAGGAGAACTATGAGGTCCAGGTTCAAATTCCATCGAAGGCAAAAACATTACGGGTCGTCTGGTTGATATACAAGTTATGCAAGGATTACAACGACTAATTCGCATTATCAGCTAACTAAACAATGTATAAAATGATGTTGAATTTTATACAATTATAGTATAATTTGTTTCCATCTGTCTAAACCTTGGTAGGCAGAGTTACCTGCATTAGGAATCCCCTTTTATTGACCAGCAACTTCATTCTTACTTTGCTAGCTTGACACAGACCTTTTGGACACTACCTTTAAGAATGAGTACTTAACAAAGACAGGATATATTGAGCTAAAATTTAGAGCAATTTATTTCATTGTGAGGTAAAAAAAAAAATTAGTGTCCTTCCAGAGATTAGTATTAGAAGTGCTGAAACACTAAATATGGCTTCTGCACCTTCAAATGATCTTTGGATTGCAGCCCTCACCCTTTCAATTGTGTTCCTTACAATTCTATGGTACAAATTGAACAAGGAAGAATCCAGGTTGCCACCAGGGCCTCGTGGTCTTCCGATTGTGGGATTCTTACCATTCCTCCGCACCAATTTGCATCACCAGCTCACAGAGTTGTCTCAACAGTATGGTCCAATATACAAGTTTTGGCTAGGAGGAAAACTATGTGTTGTATTGAATTCACCATCCTTAGCCAAAGAAGTTGTTCGCGATCAAGACTCCGTTTTTGCCAACCGTGACCCTCCAATTGCAGGATTAGTGGCCACATATGGTGGACTAGATATTGGATTTTCTCCCTATGGCTCCTACTGGCGTGATATGCGCAAACTGTTTGTAAGGGAGATGTTAAGCAACAGGAACCTTGAGGCCTGTTATAGCCTTCGGAGACACGAGGTCAGAAAGACAATCAGAAATGTGCATACCAAGATTGGCAGCCTCACTGATATTGGTGAATTAGCCTTTGTAACTGAAATGAATGTAATCATGAGTATGATCTTCGGCAGCAATTTTGTAGAGAAGATGGAGAAGCATAAAAAAGATGGAACTGAATTCAGGGAATTGGTGATAAAATATCTTCAAATACTGGGAAAACCAAACATATCAGACTTCTTCCCTATGCTTGCAAGGTTTGATTTACAAGGAATACAGAAAGATGCGGAGGCTCTTTTGAAGTCGGTTGAAAGTATATTGGATCCTGCCATAAATGAACACTTGAAGATGCTTTCAGACAGAAGAGAAGGTGAAATCCAGGGGAATGAGAAGAAAGACTTTATACAGATCCTGTTAGAGCTAATGGAGCAGAAAGACATTGGTGTATCACTGGACTTGGTGAAAATAAAGGCCATCTTGGTGGTAAGTTATATGGTTCCTTTATCTTTTCTATATCGTTGCTCCTCTCGTTAACCTTGTTTATCCTGCGAATTCCATCATATTATTGTTGAAAATATAATTAAATAATAAAAGTGTGTTCTCTCAAACAACTTAAGTTTTTAGATGAGATGGTCACACACTTCAACAATTACTTTATCAGTCTGAAGATTTAACAGCGTCATAAAAACTTTGTAAGAGTAATTTAGCTAATTATGCGATTCAAGCATCTTAATCAAGAACTCTAATCATTTCTCTAACCACATATTGGTAATTGGTTATGGGTTCGAGTCATGGAAACAGTCAGGTTGTCTAATCACACCCAAGGGTGTGGCTCTTATCCGGACTCTGCTAGTGCGGGATGTTTTGTTCACCGGATTGCCCTTTTTTTAAGTCCTAATAAGATATTCATACTCATACCTAAACATGAATGCCGTGCCCCGTACATGCCGTGGCCCCATACAAGCAGGGGCAGAGCCACAAGAAGTTATGAGTTCGCAGAATCCAGTAGCTTTGGCCCAAACTATGTATTTCTATTAAGAAATTCACTTGACATATATATAAATATTTATCCAGAACCCAATAAACAAAAAAAGTTGTCGTTCAGAACCTATAAACTTAAAATACTGGATACGCGTCTGCCTACAAGTAGTTCTTTTCCCCTGTCTTTATATATGTTTCTTCATTGTAGGACATTGTTATTGGTGGGACTGACTCTACAATTACAACGGTCGAGTGGGTAATGACAGAGCTTCTGAATAATCCGGAGACGATGTCAAAGGTGCAGAAGGAATTGAAACATGTTGTAGGGATGAATAACGTTGTTGAAGAATCCCACTTACCAGAGCTGCACTATCTTGATGCAGTTTTAAAGGAGACGTTACGTTTACACCCTGCATTACCACTGCTTCTCCCAAAGCGCCCGAGCCAATCTGCAATAGTAGGTGGATACACAATACCTGAAGGAACTAAAGTATTCTTGAATGTTTATGCAATTCATAGGGATCCTCAGGTGTGGGAAAGTCCACTAGAATTCCAGCCTGAAAGGTTCTTGAGTCGCTCGACAAATTTAGACTACGCTGGAAATAATATGAAGTACCTTCCATTTGGTTCAGGGAGGAGAATTTGTGCTGGCCTTCCTTTAGCAGAGAAAATGGTCATGTTTATGTTAGCTTCATTGTTGCATTCCTTTAATTGGAAACTCCCGGAGGGCGAAAAGGTTGATCTTTCAGAGGGATTTGGACTTGTCATCAAGAAAAGTGAGAGGCTATTCGCTATCCCTACTCCCAGGTTACCAAATTTCGATCAATATCAGTAAAGCCAAGAAACTATAAGGGGAGTAGCATTTTTAATATCTGAGTGTATTAGTGTACGATGAGTAAAGAGGTCAGCTAATGTACATTGTATTTTAAATAAAATATGTAGGTGTGGGATTACACTAGGTATGTTGTTATATTCTGAAATTGTTCTTAGTTGCACTATGAGTTGGAACTTTATTAAGGACTTGAAATGGCAAAGTCCGGAACTTAGTCGCACATTCTTGTATGATCATGCATTTATCTTAACATTTGCATCTCTATAACACTCATCTTATGAATATATTGGAGTTCAATGACGCAACAGTCCCAACTGTATAACAATATTGTCTTTAGTATGTATAGTTATTCTGTGAACCACCTTTCACAGAGTATGCTATTGAAGAATTTTTGTGTGAAATTTCAGCTTGAAAAGAAAAGAAGCGTCAAGTATATAAGTCATCATGTTTCAATAATCTCAAAAGAAGAGGTGAGAGTTGATCTACAATCACCCTCTCATTAGGCATGAACTCCAGACTATTTGCACGCGATTATATAACAGTACACAGTTGTGCTTATCTTCCCTAACTAGCACTGTCTATTTTTACATATCATGCACATTTGACAAGAGAAATTGATGATGATCAAGCAGAAGCAACAGCTTTGCAAATTGGGAGGTCCTTTGGAGAATTAGGTGGAATGTTCAAAATTGGGTTGCTCTCAAAGAAATTAACTGGCATTATCTCAAAGCTTGATGATACTGTTGGCATTATAGGGAAATCTTCTTGGCATGGAATATGATGGAACCCTAATGTATACCACAACACTATGTCTTTATTCTCAATAGCCCTGTCTCTGCAAAATACAAACAAACAAAAAGAGTACTATGACATTAGCTCTGATATCACTAGGGCTCGTCAT